CCTCCTAAAGTGCTGGGATTACTGGAGTGAGCCACTGCTCCCAGCCCTTCATTTTTATTTTATTCTTACATTACAAGCACTTCTAACAAGCATCTAAGGTTTCTAATCCCATCTCATTTTAGAAATAGCGTATTAGAATGAGAAGAGAGAAGAGATGCTACAGCAGGCTCACCAGCGTAAGAAATGATTGCAAGGAAGAAGAGAGAAAATCAGCTCTCACTCACCTTTGAAGGCTGCCATTCATCACAGTCTTGCAGCGTAGTAGAACCGATATTCAAAATGATAACCCTACAGAATCCGCTCATTCAGTCAATAAACGGAGCATGAATCCAGGCACTGCACAAAGCACTGTGGAGCGATCAGCAATGCTTAGTGCTTGCCAATAAAAGGCCACATTATGACTGTTATTCTTGAAAAGAGACTCCCAGTATTTCTCCCAATGTTATTATTTTTTTTAAGTTTTTTTAACCCTTTAAAGGGTTAGCCCTCAGTCATCTAGCATGTCATCCTTTGACCAGCATTCTGGGGAAGGGACAATATATATTATAGTTTCACTTTTACAAAATGGGCCAATTTGGAGCTGACTGCTAGCATGTGGATACCAGAGGAGTTATTCTCCTTTTCCTGGGTTGCACTCAGGTATTCATGCTTGGCTCAGAGAATGTTTGAAACTGAACAAAATTTGCTTTTGAGCTATGGTGTTAGAAAATAGAGCATCTTCAGTAAGAAAATGAGCATCCAAGAGAAAATAGGCTTTAATTGTTTTTGCGTTTTTATTTTCTTTGGGAAGAGGGGTGGGAATGAATGGTTTAATCAAAACCTTACATGAGAGTAGTTCACATGTGAAAGCACACTTGAAAAATTATGCAGGGCACTGAGTTAGTGTCTGTGGCTGTGTCTCAAAGCCTCTCGCATAGACTCTTCATGCCTCATGTTCAACCTGATCATGCGTGACTCCTTTCCTAACCTATTTGCCTTTGGGAAGAGTCCAGACACTTCTCTTCTTGGCATCTTCTCCCATGGAAGCTGCCCACCCCCTGAGCCTGAGAAGGCCCTGTGCTCCACCCTCACTGAACCGGCCTCCTCTCCCTGTTCTCTCCCTGGCTGCAGCACCCTGTCCAAGTGCTGCCACGCGACAGTGGCGCTCATCTACCCCTTCACCTGGCAGCACACCTACATCCCGGTGCTGCCGCCTGCCATGATCGACATCGTGTGCTCGCCGACCCCCTTCCTCATCGGGCTGCTCTCCAGCTCGCTGCCGCTGCTCAGGGAGCTGCCGCTGGAAGAGGTGAGCTCCTGGCTGTCCCTGTGTCCGTTCCTGGGGGTGCAGAGAGCCAAGGGGAGGTGCTGGCTAAGACCCTGCAAGCACGTGGTGGCAGGGGAGCAGGGGCCACCAGGGCTTTGTCTGACACGGGTTGGAGTCTGCCTCTGTCGACCCTGTGTGACTGCAAACACTTTTTCTTCCACATGCAATGCCTGGTATGAGTGCCCATGGAGAAGGGCAGCAATGAACAACTTAGCCGGATGTCAAAAATAGCCCTCTTGGCCGGGCGCAGTGGCTCACGCCTGTAATCCTAGCACTCTGGGAGGCCGAGGCGGGCGGATTGTTTGAGCTCAGGAGTTCGAGACCAGCCTGAGCAACAGCGAGACCCCGTCTCTACTAAAAATAGAAAGAAATTAATCGGACAACTAAAACTATATGGAAAAAATTAGCCGGGCATGGTGGCGCATGCCTGTAGTCCCGGCTACTTGGAAAGCTGAAGCAGGAGGATCATTTGAGCCCAGGAGTTTGAAGTTGCTGTGAGCTAGGCTAACGCCACGGCACTCACTCTAGCCAGGGCAACAGAGCGAGACTCTGTCTCAAAAAAAAAAAAAAAAATAGCCCTCTCCCCTGTCCCTCCCTGCCCACACCCCCACCTAAGGGACGAAGCACTGAGGATCCAGCAATAACTGGAATTCATGCTTGCCTAAGAGCAAGACTGTGCTCTTCCAGTAGGTCCTTTGTCCTTTTTCGTATCAGTTAAAAAAAAAAAAAAACACCAAAATGTTTTTGTTTTTGTTTTAAGATAGGGTCTCACTCTGTTCCCCGGGTTAGAGTGCAGTGGCACAATCACAGCTCACTGCAGCCTCGAACTCTTGTGTGCAAGGGATCATCCTACCTCAGCCTGCAGAGTAGCTGGGACTACAGGCATGCACCACCATACCTTGCCGATTTTTCTTATTTTTTGTAGAGATGAGGTCTCTCTATGTTGCCCAGGCTGGTCTCAAACTCTTGGCTTCGAGCCATCCTCCTGCCTGGGCCTCCCAAAGTACTGGGATTGCAGGCATGAGCCGCTGCACCCAGCCCAAAATGTTTTAATTATCAAATTCTGGGTTTTCAGTTGAGCATCCAAGTGAGGAAAGTCCTACATGGCATTTCCGGAGTTATTTACTGCTAGCCCCTTCTTCTAAACAGTTTCTGCCCTGTGTACTGGCCACTTCCAGCAGTCAGAGAAGGAACTTTAGGGGACTAAATTGTGCCGCTCGGGCCCTGAAGCACTGGGAGGAATGTCTGCCTGTCTGTCTATCCCGCAGTTCTCCCGGGTCTCTAGGTGCTGCTCTTCTAACTGCCGGGATAGTCCTAACGCCCCACTAAATATTAACCCCCAGCCTCAGGTCTCGTGGACTGTGAGGAACTTGTCTGCGTACCCTGTGTTCCCACAAATGGCTCAGCTCAACCCCAGAGGGTGTGAGTGAGAAGGAAGGAGAGCCATCCCCCAGCTCCTGGGCGGACTCTGGGATATGGTAGAGCCCATGCTTCCAGCTGTTCTTACAGTGGCCGGCCAGGCCCCTGGCTCTGCCTCTGTCGTAGCCAGTGGCCTTGGCTGAGGTCTGAGTGAGGACCCCACGAATGTGTCCTTCAATCTCACACCCCAGGTCCCAGCCCTGGGTCTCAGCCCCGCACGGGGGCGGGAGGGAAGGTCCCTTATCCTGAAAGCCTTAACCAATGAAAGCCACTGCCTGCAGCCTGACTCTCCTCCTGTCCCTTGGAGAGAAGTGACAAGGCTAAGTGGGCAGCTGGAGGAAAGAGGAGGGAGAAGCCCTAGGGTGGGAACAGGGGGAGCCTCTGGCATCTTTTGCCCACCTCAGTAACCCACACCCTGAAAACATTCTGAGAAGCTCTGCCTTAGGCAGTGGAGAGCAGGGCAGGGAGCCCAGCCTGCGGCTTCAGTGTTGAGCGCATACAGCTCAGGAAAGCCCCTGCCCCCACCCCCTTGCTCGTCTGTGGCTACTGTGGCAAAGTCAGGAAGCACCGATGCCCCTCACCCCCACCCCAGCTGCCTCTCTGGTGCCAAGAAGGAGGAAGGCCAAGAGTCCATCTGTATCCCAGAAGCCCTGGTGACAATAATAGTCCCTTTTCCTCTCATCTTGTAGGTCCTTGTGGTCGACCTGGTCAACAGTCGCTTCCTCAGACAGGTGAGTGAAGACAGTTCCAACGCTCTGCTCCCTCCCTCCTTTCCTCTTCCTTGTCCTGGGCTCAGCTGTGCAGCTCTGGAAAGGCTCCTGGTAGGCCTGGCCTTGCAAAACAGGCTGGTTGAGCCATGTGTCCCCAGGCCAGGGCTAGAGGGAGGACAAGACAGAGGCAGGGGGCAAAGGAGTGATTTCCACATGTTCTGACATAAATGGTTCCTAACTAACAATTAGAACAGAATCTTTGTATAGCTTATGACCATAGGCACTTGTCTTTTTCAACATGCTCTTAAAGGATATTTGAAGACAAAGTTCATGATATAATATTGTCAGGAAACAAAATTGTATACATTATTTTGCTGATCTTATTTTTTTTTAAGAAGAGAAAAAGAGAAAGAAATATATACTTGCATCTTAAAGAGATTGAAAAGAAAACCCACCAAAACATCAAAGCTGGTTGCTTTGGGGAGGTAGACTGACAAGAAAACAGATTAGGAGCACTTTTAAATTGTTTTAATACTTTCGTGTGTTTTCTATACTGATCATAAATTACTTTCATTAGCAGAGAAAGTAATACACATGTGTTTCTTTTTTATCATTTGCCAGAGAGGTCTAACTCCTATCGGATCTTGCACAGAATAATTACAGAAAGGCTTTCTGGGCATTCCGATGGATTGCTTCTAAACTTGGAGTTGCCACGTTGCTGGAAAGTTCAGTAGTGTTAATGCTGTTTTGTATCATTACTTCCGCTTCCCAAAGGCCTGCAGGGTAGGCCCTTCCCCAAGATGCGCCTGCTCTACGGCCCAGATCATAAAGCCAGCCTTGGATCATGCCAGTCACCTTCCCTGGCCAGGGTCCCCTGGTTAGCACTAGCTACCCTATGGAGTGAGGGCAGTGGAAACATGTACTGAGTGGGCTGTTAGTGCCAAGCACTTTCGTGAGGTAACTGTATTGCACTGAATCTTCACAAGCAGGTAGATATTGATTGGGAGCTTTTACAAACCGGGCAACTGAGGCTCACAGAGGTGTAAAAAGTAGAATCAAGGTTCAACCCTCAGCCCTCTGGCTCTAAGTTGTGTTCCTTCCACGAAACTGAGAACTGAGCCAGGCCTGCCCTGCGTCGTACCTAGTGTGTCCTGCCGGCCAGGACGCAGCCACCATCCCCAGCAGCGCTGGGCGATGGCCCACCCGCTGCCTCTGCTTTACAGATGGAGGACGAGGATTCCATCCTGCCCCGCAAGCTGCAGGTAGCCCTGGAACACATTCTGGAACAGAGGAACGACCTGGCTTGTGACCAGGAGGAAGGGTCCCCTGACTGCAAGCACAGTGAGTGCTGGGCCACCTCCCAGACCCTCCCTCTTCCACCGTTAGGGTCAGAGAACAAGTGGACAGTGGCCTCCCTTCCTCTCGACCCTGTGCTAAGTGGGAAAACGGGTGAGGGAGACATAAGGAGAGAACCTGGGAGCTCAACCGCCTCGTCGGGACTTCACCCTAACAACAACTTCCCCACCTCTCCCATTTTGGCCCTAAAATACCTGTTGTAAAGCAGGGAAAGGTCTATCACCCCTGACTGATGGCTCTGGGGGAAAGGGGGGGAAGAAATGACTTAATAACTTAGTGTTTCTCTTCTGAATTTTCTTGTGGCCAAAAAAAAGGGGCCTTCA